AAAGCGTAAACTGGTTACAGACCATAACAGTACAGACGGATTATCTCTCTGCATAAAAACGTATACACTTTAATCGGTGTCAGTACAGTAAATGACATAATAGAAAAAACAGACCCCACTTACTAGCATATGCGGAGTAAGACATATATATATGTATATATATACATATATATGAACTCGTTATCTTCTTAAAGCATCCTTATAAGGGTATATTCAGGGTGATGGGACGATTACACTGCGTTACTCTGGAGCGATGACTCGCATAAATTGTCAGAGACGCTTACTATCTTGTGAAAGTAGGAACAGAGTACCGGTTCCTGGAATATCGCTGTTGGAGAGCAATTTATCACTGTAACCCGTAATATGATGAAAGACCCGTGTAGCACAGCGTTTCTCAAATATCGTTAAGTTATGCGCTTAATTAGTCTCCCTTTTAAGCCATTAAGGGGAGAGGGGCGGAGCAGCGCGCCGTGTAATCTGGTTTTGAACATTTTAAAACTTGATAAGTAAATAATAAACCTTATTCGGTGATTAATGTCACATATTTCTGGAACTTATGCCCATATCATTTAATTTTGATCTTATCTTCAGTTCAACTGTCTAAATGTTTTTTAATCCACTATCAGGCTAACATAATAAGCTCGTTACCTTTCATGAATCATAAAAAATGACATGGTATATCAAGAATGTTCACATAGTGATTATAAAATTATCGCGCACCTTGCTTTTCTTAATCCGCTTGATTTTGTATATTCGAGAGACGATCTGAATTGTGTTCAAAGTTTCCATGTAAAACTCGGGATTCTGGAGGACGCTGGCGAGAAGGTAGATAGACTTGCACGAGACTGTGCTGAGAGAGTCCTTCAACAACGAGGTGAGGTTGCTGTCTCTGGAAAGTAGCGGGACTGAATGAGGACAGTCATTCGTCACAGAACAGAAAGAACTTACCTAGAAGGAAGATATCTCTGTCCTTGGAGCAATGTGACCAGCACGTTGCCGATCGCCGGCAGACTAAGACTGGCTCGGTCTGGCTTTGTGCACTTTTCACCAGTTCCTAGGTCGACCAAATGCAGCCTGCTTCGGCCACCTACCACTGAAACCCGTTCCTCATTAGAGGCGTCATTCCTCAACTTCACAATAAAGCAAACAACTTACGTTTGCCTTCGTCCGTGTGATCAACTTTGTACTGGTAGACGTTGATGGAGAAGCGGAAATGTGAATTTCTTCTCTCCTCTTTAGTGTCTTGAAATAAAATTAAAAAAAATAAAATAGCGAAATAAAATTCACGCTTTAGTAAAGAAACAAGGAACGTGTGAGGACAAATACACATATTCAACATTCGCCCTCACGCAAACGTCGTACTTTCAGCACTGTCTTAAACACAGAACTTGCCAAAATGAGGACAATGTTCAGACGCATTCAGATGAACGAAGAATAATGGGAATATCTCTTTAGCATGACACGGAGAATTACAAGTTATTAGCGCTTCAGCGGGGCTGTGGCACAGCACCGGGCTGCCATGCGTCGAAAAACCTCCAGAGGGATCGCGTAGAAAAAAAATTTGAAAATTGACTGTGACTCATCACCGGAGACTGTGTCCACCAATGATGTTTAGGCCAGCGGTGTCCGGGTATCGCAAGGACATATTTCATGTTCGCTTGTAGAACATGCCTATTTAATACGAAATGCATGAGTTCTTGTGAAGATTAATGGATTTTTGGGAGAGCGGAAAATGCTTTTCAGCCGGCGCCGCCGACTCTTCTAAAGCAGCATGGCCGCTGATGGATGAGTGCTAATTTGCTGAACGCCGTAGCAAGACAGAACGCACATCATAGAACGCATGAACATAAACCAATGAAGAATTTAATTACGGAATCGCCTGCCCGCCAGCGCAACGTCCAGGTAGAAGGCCGCCTTGTCGGCCGAAGGTGCACGCAGTTCGCTGAGGTTCTCTAAGAAGGAGGAGGAACCGTCCAAACCGGAAGCGTTCAGGTTACGATCGAACTGTGTTTGACGACTGTTCTGCGTTACGGTCGCCGATGAATTTTCCGCTGAAAATATACCGAAACAAACTTGAGAATCGCATTGACTATTACTTACTGTAACCCTGGTGAACCAACAGGTCGCGTAGTTCTTCGTTGTGACCGCCCACTTCTACCGCGGACAGTCGTACGGTACAGCGGATGCCGCTGCGTTGCTTCTTCTCGTGAATCAACCGGTACAACCAGGAGATGGCACAAGGGATGATGCCAAGCGTCTGTACGCTTCTGTCCAAACCGATCATCGAGTTCTCATGACCTGTACGGAAAAGGTACATCAGAGACTGGGGGGACGCAAACAGAAGGGATGAATGTATACCCATTCCGTTGTGCCCGAAGGTGATCACACAGCTGTCCTCGCCGTTCATCGTGTGCGTTATGGCATCCAACAATGCGCTGCTGCATATCTCTGACTGAAACACTCCACAAATACATAATCGCTCAGAGACCGGTCACACCAGCCTGAATAACTACCTGTGTTTCGTCTGAAGAGAACGTGGAATCGAAGGCAAAAATTCTCGGTATACCTTGTCGGGCAGTGCTGGAAGGATGGCGGCGTTCAACAAGAGTCACTTGCTTTCTGCGACCGTCGACGGTGAGGAATGAGTTCTGAAGGCCGGAACTGCCGCATCCCTGGCTGGGCAACACCCTGAGTGCCACTCGAAGCTGAAGAAAGACACAATTTCAACAACAAGCAACACCTGAGCATTTATTGAAGGCAATGATACATATTACAACAAGTTGCCTTTCCTCTTTTGGTACCGGACTGAAACGCTTAATGGCATCATGTCCTTGCTGCTAGTGGCTTAAGGAACCACTCAGACAGGGTTTGGGCTGAATAGCACTGGAGTACCAGCAGTGTACGGATGCAAAACCGCATCAACGGGCAGGGCCGAACGAAGGCCTGTTCGGACACCTGCAAATATACCACAATCCGTAGGCCTACCTACACATAAGAATAAGCTTGATCTTAGGGGTTTACTAGCGTACTGCCAGTTCTCGATACCGCTGCCAAAAGAAACAACATTTTCGTTTTCGACACCGGATTGAAACGGTACGATAACAACGCCCCTTTGTTCAATTAGTTTACAACAAATAACCTATAGAATGCCGCAAACAGAGACTTACCACCCATTGCTTTGTCTGCTTACCTATAACTATTCAATCAGCAACACCCTTCGAAGTTGCAGAACTAGTTTGCGTAAACGTGGCAACTTATCAACCCATATAGACAACAATAACCCTGTTTTTCGGTGCGGCTACCTCGCATACTGTAATCTTTGCTTTTCTGGCATTTTCCCGTCTGTCTGTCCAGACTGTTGCGACTTACTGAACGTAGTCGCTCCTTCGTGGAAGCCGTGGGAAAAGAAGGGAACTCTTCCCGAAGAACTGGAGAAAGAGAGAACTGAACATCGAGCCGTCTTTGGGACTGGGCTGGCTGCTGTCTGAAGTTATTTTGTCTAGGAGATGTGATATTATGTTTTCGCACTTGTAAAGATTTCAAGTGGATGTATCCAAGGATCTGACCTTCATCGCAAATCACATTCGAGGACACTGGTGGACACTGGCAGATGAAACACAAGAAGGTTTTGACATTTTCAACCACTGGCACAATCTGCTGCCCTACATGATTGGAATAACGGGAATTAAAAACCGATGGGCAGATGGCGCATTTATTCACAGATGCTCAATTATATGGAAATGAAAATCCTTTACCATCATATATAATATATAGCGCGTCGCATGTAGCACGGTTCGAATAAATATCAACAGGTTTCTAACCGCCTTTTCCTTTATTTATTACTGTATATGGTACGTTGTCGTTTATAGTATAATAGTATAATAGTAGTAAGGTTTGCTCATAAAATATAATATCATACATATAAT